CTGTCCCTACATGTTATGATGTCTAGAAGAAGGCCAAGAAAGTTTTTGCCAATGATATTCATTGCCTCTACAGTGTTGTGGCGACTTTGATGAATACTAAGTTAGAAAATAAGGATATGCCAACATATTTTGGTTAGTTTTACCATTTACTTGCTGATTATGCCACTCTCATGTCTTTTACTAGTGATGCATAAACTTATTACACATAATGCAACTGGTTGTTCATGATTCTTGCCCTTGTTGGTCTCTCTCTTAACGCTGATGTGGCATGCAACCAAATATTAATTTCCTACCTTTGACATGGTTAGTGAATAGTTGTTATGTCTTTCCATTCCACATGCTTTTGGACACCATCCTTTTGGTGATTCTTGGGGGTCGTAGAGGGCAACGACGTCCTCATTGCAATTATTGCAAAAGCTATGGCCATGTTGAGGTAGACTGTCGCACCAAGGCTAAAGAACTGTCTAAACCAACTAATGTCGCATAGGTTACCTCTCTTGCAAATGTTAGTATTTCTACTATTGAATATAATGAATTTTTCTAGTATTAGGCAACCAACCAACTTATCTGGCTTGTTACTATTGTGGTTTAGTATGATAACATTGTAGCCTTTGTTTTAATAAATTTATATCTTATTTTAAATTTTAATTTCTATTTTATTTAAATTATCTTTATTTTTATTTTGTATAACAAAATACATAAAAAAAAATTACTTGTTAAATTATATATTTCTACAAATTAAAAATATAAATAGTATGTATATATATAATATACTTGTAATTGATATCACAAAATAATATATGTAATATCTACATAGATATTATATATTAAATATATAATTTAAAATTAATAATATACTATAAAAGTTATTTAAGTTATATATATTACAAACAAATACATTAAAATAAGTGATCATTGTTTGATAAGACTCTTTGTTTTTTCATGAGTAGGATTCAATTCTCATTGTTATTTTTGTGGTTTGTAGTCCCTTTTAAAAAAAATATTTTGTGGTTGAACTGGTTTGACACACCACTGGTTGAATCGAAAAATTGATCGGTTCACTCCTGTTTGAAATGGATCGAATGCATAATCGATCTAACTCAAGGTTCGGACCGACTAGATCACTACTACATTTTAACTCTTTAGTAACATTTTCTTTCTTACATTTGTTAAAATGTTACTATATATTAAATAAATAAGTTATTTTGCGACATTTTTTTTTGAAAAATATCATTATAGATAGAGTAACATTTTTTATTTCAATATTATTCTATTCAATTATTTTCAAAATCAAAGTCACATATCGAGTAAAAAAGTGTCACATAGGTTATTTTGTAACATTTTCTTGAAAAATGTTACTATAATTGCTTCTAGAATCAAAGTCTCACATCAAGTAAAAAAAGTATATTTCTCTCATCTCTAATTGTTACCCGCCATAATTAAAGTCCCACATCGAATAAATAAATGACTTATAAAGAGTATATATAATCATATAATTATACTTAAGATAAATGAACTTTGATATTTGATATATAACAAGTAGTGACTAATTAATAATGTTTTTAATCTTCTCTTGAAGAACTCCTAGAGATTTAGGAGACATAAAAATATAATAATTGATAATAATATTTAAATTAAAATTAATTATCATTTTATAAAGTTAACAAGAATTTAGTAACAGCATTAAAATGTTAGAAAAATACTACTTTGCGACCATTTGAAAAATGTTGTCTAATTATATAAAAATGTTATTAAAAGTCTTTAGCAACACAGACTATATACAACATTTGATAACATGTTACTAAAGCAATTTAGTAACATTTATATACAATTTGGTAACATTTTTTAAATGTTACTAAATGTTTTTTGTGTTGTAGTGAGACCACCGATTCTCGATTCAACTGGTCCAATGAACTGGTCTGAACCGATTTTTAAACTCTGCTCTATATAAATTATTAAAAAAAAAACCTGCACCTTTATGATTGTCTTCATTAGTGTAAGTGTCTAATTTATTTTTTTAATATCAAATAAAAAATAAACAATATATTATATAACAAACATATCAAAATAAATTATATATTTTATTTTCAAATTTTACATATTACTCCTATGTATTATTTATATTTATATTTTAATATTTTTTACCTGTTATCCCTTTAAATATATTATTTTCATATTTATTTCAATATTTTTTGAAAATTTTATAAATATTTATAGATTATAAATTTTAATTACAATACATCATATATATCAGAAAAAATTTATTTAATATAAATTTAGTTATATAAATTAAAAAACTATACTGTATATTGCACATACTAAAACATTAATTTATTTAAATTTATAAAATTAAAAATACCTTGATATATTAATTAATCTTAAACATAAATAATTAACAAAAAATACCTAATATAATAAATAATATTGTATTGAGTAATCCACATTACTTGTAGTACATTTCTTTTATGTATTGAAATTACAATGACAACTTTAAACTTAAGATCTTGTGTAAAATATTTTAATTTCAAGATTCCGGATTTATCGACTTAACTCAATTTAATTAAATATTATACATAAAACTCTACTAAAATCATTAATCCTATAAACATGAATATAAATAATATATCAAGTAGTCCCATCAAACATTGAAATAAAAAAAAGTTTATAAAATGAGAGGTGTTCATTCTTATTCATACAATGCATCAACTCCCTCTTTATTTTTCATAATTATTCAAGCCATTTGCCAATATTGTGCCAATGGTTTTTAAGACAAATCTTATAAGATCACTAACCAAGGAAATCACAGTTGTTAATAGATTCATTAATGTCATCATGCTCAAGATTTGATCAACTCACAAAAAGGGTTCCATTTGACCAGATATATAACAATTGTACTCAAAACTGGGTTGAGATGTTTGTAGGCTTATGGATCTGTCAATAACAATTAAGTAAAAAGTGAAGGAATAAAATATGATAGATGAATATATGAAGAATAATTAGAATTGGCTAAAGATGGAAGAGAGGATTCGTTTGTAGCTACATTGAACTGAAAGAGAAATGATTCACTTTGGTGCCGTGGAAGAAGGGTTTAGGGTTGCAGTTTGTAGTAAACTGCAGAAACCCTGTGTTGGAGGTGTGTGTGAAGAGTGAGAAGGCATGCGGTGAATTTAAAGGAGCTGCGACACGTGATGATGTGTTTCTAGAAAGGCACGTGATGATGTGTTTCTAGAAAATACATTTTGGTGAATGCACACGTGATGATAGGATATCTCAGGAATTAATTTAATTAAATAAATCAAATATATAGCTCAGTCGTTCAAAAAGAGTTGTTCAAAGCAATTTTAGATTGGTTTGTGCCAATAGTCAAAAGGAAAAACATTTAAATCAAAAATTAAATATTGTGAATCGTGATCGGTAATTTCCTGTTACGACCAGCTCGACAAATGGAAAATAAGGGTTAAAAAATTAGGCATTAAATAATTTAACATAGTTCATCCAGCAGTCTTCATTCACACGGCTAAAAAACAGTGAAAGTTTATATTACAAGCTATTTTATAACATTTAGTGTCTAGGAGATGTTTATATTTCTTGTCATTGTCCTTCTGTTGAGTTTCTGGATTCTATGCATTTTAGTCTTATATAACTTTGAGTGTTATTCTTTTGTTGAAATTCTGTGAATGTAATTCACTAATGTATTCTACTTGTACATGGGCTTGTGCCTGCTGTACACCCCTTAAGATATCTAATGGTTCGTAGTGAGAT